ATGTTTAAAAATGCAAAAAAAACTGAAAAAATGTCTTGCATCTTTGTTAGGCCAGAAACTTTTCACACCAGCCTCGTACAAGCACAAGTAAAATCCAAAAAAATATACACGTTATCAAAGTCGCTGTTGATTACCGTTGTTTTTTCAATACACAGACTTGTTGTTACTTGGTGGAGAATCAATAACACTATTCATGGTAAATATTACAAATCTTCACAATATAGACTACAACACTAGTTTCCTTATTTAATAGTATTGTACACTAATTTAAAATGTAATTTATACAAATCACTAACCTAACTCTATCTGTAGAGTAGGGAGGGTGAGTGTAGGCCCACAGGAGGAGTTGTCCTCCTAGGTCATCGTCCATCCTGCCCTATCCAGGAAGGTGGACAGGTCACTGGGAGACATCTCCTTTATATCGGCAGGTGTAGGCCAAGACTCGCCGAACTTATTGACGATAACTCCAGACACTCGCATACGTCATGCCTGACAGTCTCCACCTTCCTGTTCACACATCCTGCATAGAGGTGTGTCTACTAGCCCCATATTATGGGGGGTGTTTCCTTAGTTGACAGTGGCCAGTCAGAAATCCTACTGTTAAGCGTAGATTCTTCTTGGTTATCGCCAGATATTTCTTCGGCGCCAGCTTCCCAGGGTCGCCCAGGGTGATTCTGGCAAGATTACATCCTTTGATTCCATCCCATCTCTTTAGGGATTGAGCATGGGTGTAACATTTGGCTAGTTCCGCAATTGTCGAAGTCATCAGGAATGGGCTCTAAAATTCTTAGTCCAGCCGCTTCCTTGGCTAAAGAGTCAGCAATGCGATTACTTTTACTGCTGTCGTGCCCTTTAACCCACCTCAGGATAATGATTTATTATCTAACGAGGCTTTGGCTAGATCTTGGTGCCAGAAATTCCCTTCCTAGTTATTTCTTTTGTGGCGATTGAGATACCAGCCAGTTCTGTTTGGACCACGCTGGTATTTTTCCCATTCCCCACCTTCGCAATAGATATTATTGATTGGTAAACAGTTTCAAGAACAGATAGCCAGCGGGACAGAGCAGATAGAATTATTGTCACTACGTGACTGATTCTAGACTAGGTGACTGATTCTAGAGTATTCGCAATGTGTTGGATAAATTAACGCTGGTTCAGTGAACGATTGACCAACACGCGTACGTTGACGAAACGCAAGATCTGCCTAAAACATCACCGCTGTCTGTGAAAGTGTGAAGGCAGTCAATTCCGTGTCGCTCACAAGAACTTGGCCTTCCGCAGACTACAATATTACAAACTGATCTAAACAACGACATATGTTCACTGAATGGGCTCTGAAGCAATTAGCAACTAATCCAATTTTCATCGAAAAATAATCTTCAGCGATGAGGCTCATTTCTGGATGAATGGGTGTGGGAACAAACAAAATTGTCCAATTCAGAACGATACCAATACACATAAAATCGAAGAGAGCGTCCAGTGATCCCGAGAAATAAACTGTTTGGTGTGGATTTTGGGCTGTTAACGGCGAGCACTGTAGGTCGATGATTATCAATTTCTTTTGACCTGAACTGGATGATCTGGGCACCAACGATTTGTGGTTTCAATAGGAGGCGCTACGTGCCACACAGCTCATGTCATATGAATATTTTACATGAGCGATTTGAGGGCATGGTCACCGTGATCGTGCAATTTGACCCGTTAGACTTTTTCATGTGAGGTTTTCTCAAGTCCCAGATGTATGCGAATAAGCCATAAACCACAGCGGTCCTCAAAGCCAACATAACCCATTACATTGGTCAAATTCATCCTGATTTATGCGCTTCATGGAAAATTGACCGTTTCGGCTCTAGCCTCTTCAATAAATAAGATGCATTTTTCATGGAATTGACAGGAGTATGTGTTTTGTCTTTGTCTAGGTCTAGCTCCAGTTAAAGACAGGGTCGCACATCGTTTTTGAAAGAATCAAATCACTCCCACGGTACTACTTCTCTCCCACTCCCACTACATCCATTTAACTACCCATTACGTAAACAAATACCAAACTCACCTGAATACATCTGAGGATATTCCTGACATCGGTCAACGACCACAGAGAAATGTGCGACATCGTAAACCCACTTTCGTCGTTGACGTACGTGTACCCGTTGATCTGGTTGATCTCGTCGTCCATCAGAGCCTCAGTAACCAAGCTGTGAATCTTCACCATGTGCGCAGAAGTGTACTTGTGGGGGTCGAAGTTGCCTGCGCAGCTGAAAAGCACCATCCTTCCTTGATCCCTGTCCAAGAGAGGAACAAGATAGCCGGCGTTGATGATGTCGGCCAGATCCTTGTCTTCGCTGTCGAGGTTTTGGAACCATTGGGGGTAGAGTCTGCGGATGGTGAGATACCTTTCGAGCATCTCGCATGCGAGAGGAACGCTGAATTTCTTGGTGCGCAGGAAACGTAGGAGGAATGGCGCATCTGTAAAGTATAATAGTGTAACCAAAGACCCATGAACAGTTGATGCACTTATCTAATCATAAATATTAGTCATTTAGGTTCATCTTAAGAGTTACATTTTAGTAACGCCACGACGCCCAACTCGTTTAATTTTTGGGTCTCTTATGTTGACCATTACTGGTTGCTGCTAGAGCATTTATCGATACATTTCGTCGATTTCCTCACTATAGGACTCTGCTGTGATGGTTTGGCCTGGTTGCAGAAAGTTATAGTGGATCACACCAGCTGCTCACCACCATAAAATAACCATGACCTTTTATGGTGGGTTTACGCCTTTGGTAAGTGCCTGGGTGACTCATCGGTGTCCAACCACTGCCCACGTCTCCTGTTGTCGTAGAGGATCCACTTTTCATAACACGTGAGAATGCGATAGAAAAAAGAGTCGTTTTGGTTGCGTAAGAGCAAAGAAGAACAAACATCAAAACGTAACAATTTCTGTGGTTTGTTTAAATCGTGGGACACCCACTTTTCGAGCTTTTTGACCCTTTCAATACGTTTCAAACCATCAAAACTGCTTGGGAGTATATAAGCTGACTTGTGGCTCCTTCCCAAAACTTTATATTGGCCAATCAGGGAGAACATTTTCCCAAAGAATGAAAGAGCACAGAAGTAGTTTTGTAAATCAAAAGACCAATTCCACTTTTGCAAACCACCTTTTAGAAGGAGGAATGTTTAGAAATCAATAGTATCAGGAATTCGGGAAATTTACTGAATGATCAATTATAATTGAATAACTCCCCATTAATAAATATTTTTTCAAATGTGAAAACTAGGACATAAGCTCAGGTGATGTAATTCATTACATACTTAGGTAAGAATCAGGTTCTTGAAATTTAGGCACTTCAAATTGTAGAATGAGGTGTATTTAGCATTGAATATGTAGAATTAGTTAGTAAAGACATGCCCGAAGAAGCCATTGTATTGCGAAACACGTGTTACGTTTTTGTAAAATCGTTTAGTGAAAATCTCACAACAAAGTGTTTTTTAAATACGTTCCTTATGTTGTCATACTGATAAATAAAAGAAATTCCGGGCTTTATAAGGATTTTCTCTCCTGGGATTGAAAATCTCTTTAGAACTAATCAATTTTCAAAATTTTGAATTCGATATTTATAAATTGTGAACAATAATGTGAATGTTCAATTTTCGCGGACTAGGTACATTCGATTAGTAATTTTTTTATGTTACACTCGTCTCGAACATATGTTTACAAATTCAGCATGTTCAGTTTGCTAGTGAGAGGCATACATTATAGAAGTATTCTACATATTCGGCGATTTGAACATTTGAAATGTTGACAGTGGCATACGATGATTGTACTCTGAATCAGAAAAATGTTTACAAGTGGTTCAAGCTTTTCACAGAACGTNAGTTTTTCACTGCAGTTACCTCTTATGAGTGGCGTAGTTCCACCCCGAGGTAAGTATACGTCTCTCCGGCATCCAGATGGTGTAGGATGCTTCATTGTTTTTTTGTTGGCTCAAAAAGTCTATGAATTTTCTCTTTAGGTCAATAGTTTAGGAATTATTTGCGGAATTATGGAAAACGAACAGAGAATAACTGAAAACACTATCATTTTGTTTACTTTCCACGCTATTGGAAACTACTACCCGGTCTATGTGCATTCCAAGTATTGTAATATATATTAGGTTCAAGTATAAAGTTATTTGCTTCACGTTTGGTAGTAGAATATATGTTACGAGCAACGTGATTAACTGGGCATTATCAATGAGGACCGGCCATTATTAATAATGCCCAAGAGCCATGGGCAAAGTCATTAATTTATCACTTTGACCGGCCATTATCAATAATGCTCGACGGCCCGTGGTCCATGTAATAAGTCAGTGTTTGAGATAGCTTGAATTTATCACTTGGACCGGGCATTGTGATAAATTGGACTGCGGCCGTGCCTCGCAACATACGAGGGGCACGTACATGCAGGGGGAGGGTCGCGTGCGCACGCTGCGACGTATTAGTTCGCGAACTAATTCATAAATTGAAATTAACGAAGGAGAAAAACACGCAGTAATTTTCTCGCGATGAGTATCGTTCATTTTTAACTAAAGTGAGAGTGACAAAAGACCAGATCGCAGGCAAAACTCCGGAGGAATATCAGCGATTGTCGAGGTATGACATAGTGAAGATCGGAACAGTTCAAAAATGAATCGTACCAGTGAAAAATGGCAGAAAACCAATTCAATATTACTGTTATTTGGAAGAAACATTTGATATTATTCACGAAATCACATTTCTATCGGACATGGACGTAGAAATAGGATGATGAAAGAGCTCAAACCGAAGTACAAAATATTACTAAAGAGTGTGTGGTGTTGTATTTGGCTTTGTGTGGACCATGTCAAAAAAAATCAAGTGTTTCAAAAAAAGGGCTAGTGGTTAAGCCTATAAAAAGTAGTGAATTTAACTCACGATGCTGAGTCGACTCAATCGATATGCAAACACAAGCAGACAATGATTTCAAGTTCATCGTGGTGTATCAAGATCACCTCACCAAGTTTGTGATTCTTAGACCATTAAAAACAAAACGAGCCGAAGAAGTCGCATATCATTTGCTGGATATCTTCACAATATTTGGAGCTCCATTCATTTTGCATAGTGATAATGGCAGGGAATCCATAAATGAAGTTATTGTCGAACTATGCCAAATGTGAGAAGAACCCAAAATTGTAAACGCAAACTCCGTCATAGCCAATCCCAAGGTTCAGTAAAAAGAGCAAATCAAGATATAGAAAAGATGGTATTTATATGGTTGGAGACAAATGAAACCACAAAATGATCGGAAGGGTTGAGATTCGTTCAGTTCATGAAAAATAGAGCTTATCACTCCGGCATCGATCGCAGTCCTTACGGAGCTATGTTTGGCTGCAAACCCAAAGTAGGTTTCAAATCAGTCTTGCCATCATTTGACGGGTTGACGGAAATAGAAAGTGAAGATGACCTTGAGGCAATGTTTAAAGAAGATGATTCCGGTGAAGGTCAAAATGTAATTGTGGACAGAGTGGATGATACCGTAAACGAAGACAGCGATAACTTAGATGAAAACTCAGCCGCTGTTACTGATTCTATTTCTGTTACGATTGAACCTGAACCCAGTTCCAAACTGCAACAATAATCTGACGATATTCAACCAGAAAATCAGCAACCTACTGTGAACATGATAAATGAAAACCCTCGACCAGACGATCAACAGCCTTCTGAACTGGAACAACATTCTCACGATAGTCTACCAGAAAATCAGCAACCTACTGAGAGTGTGGACATAATAAATAATGAATAAAATTCTGCCAATATGAGCAATGAGAAGAAAAATTCTGATAAGGAAAAGGCTGCATCTTCACTCAACGCAAAATCAAATGAAATTCGGAAGGCTCGTAACGCAGCTAATGAAAGAAAATTTCCTATTGCAGAAATAGGCCAAAGCGTTCGAGTAAGGATACCAGATTTAGATCAAGCCAAGACGAACTATTATATCTGTCGAAAAAGAAAAACTTTAAAAACTTGGAACTAAACACGGTATTTTAAACCAACTGTACTCCAGAAATGCGTTTACTGTGTGTAAAGAAAAGTTTATTTCGATCGACGATGTTCCAAAAGTTGATATTACTCTTCGAGAATGTGCTTGAAGAGACTCTCATTTTGATGGACAAGGCTTCCAGC